GGGGGGGGGGGTGTCATGAGCACATGGGTGGTATTTGGAGCTGTGGGTGGCATGCCCCCATGTGGAAGGGGTAAGCCTAGGTGAAGAGGCTTGAGTAGGCAGGTGGGAAGGGCAGCTGCAGAGGAGCCAGCAAGGCAGGTGAGGAAACTGGTGTCAAAGGACCGAACAGACAGTGCTGGGGAGGTGGGGAAAGGAGAGGACTTGTGCCTTTGCCAGAGCTGGGTAAGAGGAGGTTGAGGACAGGCCACCAGACATGGAGGTGGGAAGCCATCCTTGACCAGATAGTGCATGACAAGGGAGATGACAGCCAGAATGGAGTGAGTTCCAGACAGGAAGGAGCTAAGGAAGTGGAGAAAGTGAGTATGGACAACTCAGGGGTCTTAGCTAATGGAGCTGCAAGCTGGGGGCACAGAGATGGGGCCGATCCCTCAGAAAGGAAAGACTGACTCCTTTGGGGTGGGCAACCTCTCGTCTGTGAGAAGGTGTCTCAGGCACAGTTGGCAGTGGCCTCAGAGGTGCAGGTGGTAGTCACGAATGTGGGCACAGAAACATGCTGGCTGGTGAATTTGGGGGCAGGATATGAGCATCTTCTCTGGGCTTCACTCTTATTGATGACTTGAAAACAAGCTCAGTGCTGAATGGGGCTGCTGGAGAGGAGGTGGTGCAAACATGGCCTCCTGGATTCCAAAGGGGAGAGTGAGCTGGCCAGGGAAATGCAGAGGCATGCGGGGCCCTTGAGACCTCTGGTGCATGAAAGGGGAGGTTGGGGGAGGAGGGTTCTGCCCCATCATTATACATGTGCAGGCCTGGAGCAGGCCAAGGGTTGTGTTTATCCTGCGTTGATTTTAACCTAGCAGGTACAGCTGAGGAAGAGAGGGATGGGTGAACTGGTGATTGGTGTGAGTAACGGAAGGCTACGCAGCTGCCCTAGAAACAGCACGGGGCGAGGAGGGGCAGAGGTAGGCATTGGGCCTTAGACTGGCAGCCTGGAGTCACGCACAGGATTATCATAGCGGGACAAACTAGAATATTGTAGCCAGTTCTCTGGCTGGAACTCAGATGGTTGAAATTGTGGTAATGGGGGGTGTCTTGGGAGTGGTGGTTGAGAAGGATGGGTGGCCAGGTCAATGAAGGTCACGTCACAGAACAGCGAAGTGAGTACTGGCCAAGTAGAAGGCAAACTGACATTAGGAGTGGCTGGAGAGAAGGCCTGGAGCCAGCATTGTATGGAGCATGGGAGTAATGGGGCAAAGGCTGCTGGTGTGTGTATGTGGTCTGATGGCAGGGTATACAGAGTGGTGTTGGGACGGGTTTAAAGGACACCTTGAAAAGCTTGGAGGTGGCAGGGAGGGCAGGTTCCAGGAAAAAAAAAAGGGGATTGCTGGCAGCCACAGGGCACTCACTGTTGGGGGTCAGGATGGATGTGATGTGCAGGCTGAATGGGAACAGTACTCCTGTGGGGGCTGGTGGGTGGGCAGGGGCCACAGCCTGGAGATGGATGCTGGGGTGTCCCCATGCCCCCGCAGACACCCGGGACTACATCTGTGAATTCTGCGCCCGGTCTTTCCGCACCAGCAGCAACCTGGTCATCCACCGGCGCATCCACACTGGAGAGAAACCCCTGCAGTGAGTGTGTGGGTGTTGGAGGAGGGGGCCAGCAGGACACTTAGGCAACTGGGCTGGGGCCCCTAACTTCCTTCTGCTGACCCTGGCACAGGTGTGAGATTTGCGGGTTCACCTGCCGCCAGAAGGCCTCCCTGAACTGGCACCGGCGCAAGCATGCAGAGACAGCAGCCACCCTGCGCTTCCCTTGTGAGGTCTGCGGCAAGTGCTTTGAGAAGCCAGACAGCGTCGCAGCTCACTGCAGCAAAAGCCACCCGGCCCTGCTCCTGGCCCCATCAGAACAGCTCAGCCCAGTGGAGCCCTGTTCCAGCATCTCTGCCCCTGCATTCCTGGGGTCCAGTGAAGGGTGCAGGCCCGCTCAGATTTCTCAGGCTGTGACCCTGCTTCCTAAGCAGTGACAACAGTGACTGAAGAGAAGAAAGGCCAGCCGCCTGGTCCCTGGGAACTAGAGTGATGGGGAGTGCAGGACATGGGCAGGACTGGACTCCAGGCAGCAAGGCTGTAGTAGTCTTTCTACAGGACAGAATAAAGCCAGTGTTTTACCTCGAAGTGTGTGGGCAGAGTGTGTTTTTGCACCTGAGGCGCAGGAATCCTGATTCCTTTGTAGGGACTGCTAGATGTGCAGCACAGGTGCGAGCCCTGTTCCTCTCTGCAGGCCCCCACCTCAAGGACCCAGCTTTTCCCATTTGCTTGGGAACTTTGCAGCCCTTCCTGTGGACTGTCACACCCACTCTCACTGGAGCATGGTAGGCTGTGACAGCAGGGGGAGCACTCAGTCATTCTGGAGATATGAATGAGCAGGCATACAGGTATGTGACCCTGGTCTACAATGTCCTATTAACCAGAAGAAGCAAATATACAGGCCCAAAGAGTCTTGCCTTCTGGTGCAAAATCAAGGGGGCTGTGCATGCAACATTGCTGAGCTGCCTTGGGAAGGGCAAGACCTGGGGACTTGGAATGGCCTGACTCTCAGGTCACTCCTCAAGTTTACAGAGACAGTGGCTTCAGGTTTGATAAAGAGGCTCCTGACATCTGAACCGAGATACATAACCTCTTTTATTTCACCAGCCATAGCTGAAAACTGCTGGCCCAGGAAATTTCCACCCTGCCCTGTTGCCTCTCTGGAGCTCTGAGCTGGCCTCAATAAAACAAGCAGTGCACAGTGCCCAACCTCTTCTTCCTGGAAATGTTATCCAAACCCAGCAGAAAAACTGCTTGGAATTACATTACAATCTGTACATGATGACAGGGCATTTGTTCTCTGTGAGGGAAAGTCAACCCTGTGAGAAGCCAGTGCACACAGCAGGAAGGCTACCAAACTTCAGGATTTGATCAGGGCAGTCTGGACATTACAGGTGTTCAGGACGTTTCCCACCAATTGCAACCAAGATCTGTGACAACTAGAAGTCACGATTGCGACAGACTAGATGCACAGGGTAGGGAGCTGTGGGACAAGGCAGAAAGGTGACAGATGTTGGCATGGTGCTGCCTAGGACCAGTGGGGGGAGATTCGGGCCAGGGTACACAGAAGGTGGGTAAAAATGCAGCTTTCAGTTTTACAAAATTAAAGTTACTGTTGGAGAATAAATAAACTGATTTCCATACGTGCCTTTCATGGTTTTTGTACAGCACCTCAATAATAAAAAGGAACATCACAAAAGACTGAGGAGTTTATTATGCACCAGATCTGTCCACCAAGACACAGGGTCCCGCTGACCCACTGCAGCGAGCAATGTCACTACTGGAATTTTAAAAATAAAATTTCTAATTTTGTGGAAAAATCTCTTTGCAACCACTTTTAAAGGAATACTTGGCTCTGATTGTTAGAATATTTTTTTCATGTGGAGATTAAGAGGTGAGGGAGCAGGGAGGGGCCCTTGGTAACTCAGCCTTCCACACCGAGGGCGGGCCAGGGCCGGCTCTTACGAAGTCAGGCCTGTGGCAGAAACACCAAGTCCCCTCCGCCTCGCCTGGCGACACCTGCAAGTAGCGACCAGGTCGCTGCGCTCAGGTCCTCCGACGCACAGGCCTTGCAACAAGCTCCTCTTCCTGGCGGGCTTTCGAGCGCCGAGTCCACGCGTAGATTTCAGGTTAGCGCTCGCGGCTATCAGCGACCCCAGGGACGTGACGTTCCCGGGACGCCCAAAGGAGAGATGTACCCCTCGGAGCCGTAGGTTAGGCACAGTTACTCAGGGCACCGCTGACTTCACTGCAGTGAGGCCAACACTCCTGGAAAACGACGGTCCACCCCAACAGCTAAGTTCGCTAGTCGCTGGACTCCAGTACCCAACAGCCCGCGCCGAGAACTCACCAGCCTCCAACTTCCGGAGCGAGGCCGGAAGTCGCTTTTCCGCATTCAGAGCCGCAGCGCCGTAAAGCAAGATGGCAGCACTCTCTCTGAAGTGGTTGTTCAGTCTTCGTCCTATTTGTAGCACTTCTCTACCCACCAGGGCCTCTCGATTGCCATCTCCTGCCCTGGTTTTTCTCAGAACAGTTCGTTCATATTTCAATCTCATTCATCTGTGGTGGAGTACGGGCTGAAGGCAACGTGAGGTGACCAGAGCGCTCTAGGGCGCCATTTTGTACGGAAACTGAAGGCCTGGCGGGCGAGCGGCGAGGAATCCAGAGGAGGAGGGCTGGCAGGAGAGCGTGGGAGGGAGTCAGGAAGGGCGGAGGGCGAAGGTGGCGGAGGGCGTTGCTATTTGGCGGTGTATTTCCGCTTCCTCTCGGCCCGGTCCTATTTGGTTGGACCGGCTTGTTGCGGGGAGGGTTGGGGCAAGATTGTTTGGAGCTTCGCGCACAGTAAGGTAAACTGAGGCAAGGCTGTGAGTTGGGGGCCTTTGCGCCCGGCTGTGTCGGAGGTCTGGGGACAGGATCCTTGGACTCGAGAAAGAGTGTGGGGTTGCAGGCGTGAGGCTCGGACTGTGCGCAGGTTGGAGAGAGACGAGAAGCTGGGGCGGGGCTGGGGGTTGCGGGGTGAATCCGCGGGTGCG